AAAATCCTAATACAGCATTCCTTCGGAATACTAACAAACTCAGCGAATTGAAATAAACTAAAAGCAACGGGTTCCCATCTGATAGTACCGATGATTTAAAACATTTCTTTCTCTCTCTCTCAGATATATTACGATAATATGTTAATACGATTATGAGACCAGTCAAATCATATCAGGTCCAGGATTCATGACCCAGAATAGAGAACTACATTGACACAAGAAAATACTTTATTCGACACAATTACAAGCAATCACTCTCAGTGATTCCGCAGTAAAATTTAATAACAGGAAAGGAAATCACATGTTTAATAGTCAGTAGGCTAAATACCTGTTTGTCACAACTCAGTGACCAATCACATTTTACTTTAACCACAGCGAAGGAAATAATATGGAGAACAACTAAAAAGGGGTTGAAAAGTCCAAACTTCAAAATGCCAGGAGAAGCAGGCTTCAAGAATTATTACCTTAAAGAATGGGTCTTTATAGATGCCTTGAGCAAGATTCAGGAAAGGAACAAGAAAACAGCGATAAACAACCCTCGAACGACAGTGGAGAAATTCAAGAACAAACTAAATAGTGTATTTGTGGAAGTCGTCAGCATCAATCGCAAATCACACGATGGACTACACTGGAAAATCGTGCTTGAAGGACAGCTGACAGACGCATTCCAAGTGAGGATTGGAGTCAGTCAAGTCTGCTTACTCTCCCCCTTCCTCTTTCTTTTGGTAGTTGACTGGATTATGAAGACCTCTACATCTGAGGGGAAGCACGAAATACAATGGACAGCTTGCATGCAACTAGACGATATGATCTTTTCAAATGACCTAGCTCTTCTATCCCACACACACACAAGCAAATGCATACCAAGAGAACCAGTGTAGCAGTAGCCACTGCATCAGTAGTCTCCAACATACACAAGGGAAAAGTAAGATCTCCAAATACAACACGGAGAACACCAATCGAATTACACTTGCTGGAGAAACTCTGGAAGAGTTGGAAAGATATTATATGTAAATAACTGTGAATTGTTGAATAGAAAACCACTAGATACCGGTTCAGTTATCTAGTGCCAGTTGCTTGGTTAGGTCAAAATTTGAGTTGCGGATTCGCACTACTCGGCAGTTCCATGCTTAGAAACAAAACCTATCCAGGTGTTTTCAACGTCAAAATTAAATCACTGTTAGAGAGCAATGATAAGTTAAATTGTTAAAATACTGACACTGATTGTACAGACTTATTGATGCGCAGATCTTTATAGTTTGAAACATGAAAATCGTACGGATACAGGAAAGTATGTGACAGACCACTCGAAACCTTTACATAAGTTTACTTTGTACAAATTAAGTGGACGTGTACAGAGCTACTAATCATGTTTATTTGTCGTTTATCCAATAATGAGGGTTTAATTTCAGAAATATGACGATGAAATTATCTGACTTTTACAAGATTTAAATAGCTTCAAGGGACCAAGAAGTGCTAAATGGACTTATCAAAGGTCAATTCACTCAAACCTGATTTATTTGTAGCTGTCACAATAAAGTAGTAGTCTAAGTGTATGGCTTTGTTGCAGTGATCATTTTCAGCAGTGCATTTCTTTTACATTCTATAGAAATTCCACAGGTGACATCATATTGGAACTTCCATTTTCTAACCAGTAAGTTTTTCGAATCAGTAATGTTTATTTTTATCTTTCATCAATCACTTTTTTTACAAAGCAAACCTTGCTTAGGCAGATATAGAGCTTTCTTATATCTATTCAATAGGGATTTGGAACTAGTACATAAATAAAACATACTTTGGTCATCTCAGATTGGTAACCATCCAATTATTAATCTGGTTAGTACTTTTCTAGCAGTAGCTTCATGATAATTCTGACAAATATCATGACTAACTACATTGCACAGTAACTAAATAATTATTCTTTCGTGAATTACTTATGTATCTAACTCATCTATTTACCAAGGAAACATATGCATTTTAAGTTTGATTTTGCACACGTCTGTATCCCGTTATTTGAGAACGATTCACTGACTTCAGTAACACTTAGAAATGGATAAACATATTCAAGTGGTTCTTAAACAGTCCAGTTCGTAATGGTATTTCTCTCTAGTAAAATAAGCGTCAGTATTCAATGAGTATATCAGTAATGTATCCTTGGTAGGCCGTGCTAATGCTCTGAGACTATGATAAACACATAAAATGTACGATGTTATTATAACTTACTGTTCAACTAATATATGAAGCAATGCAGTTATTATCCAGATTATAAAGAAAATTCAGTTTTTCAACATCCTACATAGAAGAGATTCTATCAACTTACTACAGACACAAGATCCATAAAAGTAATAAAATTATCCCTAATTAAAATCTAAATGTTATTAGAAATAAAGTAGATCGTTATGATAGAAGCAATGAGTAGAATCCTAGAGACAACTATCATTAAATAGTAACTTTAAAAAATGTAGAAGGTATCCTACCTTAATTTCTTCATCAATAATTTTAAGATGACTATCTGCTTAAAATTATCTACAACTGTTACATTGGAAAATCTAACTTAAACAGGAGCCAGCTTCCAACATTTTTCTTTAAGTTGAGTGACAATAAATATAAACAGTAACATTATTCAACCATTAAAATTTCCATGCTTGTTTTCACTGCTGACAAGCTTATCCTAACTAAATACGACTACAAAGAATACTAGGCAGTTATATATATTTATGATAAACTCAATTCCAATAAATTGCACGGACTTTTCCAACTGACAAAATTGGGTATTACATGGATGATTACACAAGGCTTCTCATCCATCCTACCACCTAGACGTGCTAACACTAGAAACCACTCAAGTTCACATTTATACTTCATACTACTGAGTTACTATAAAAGTAGCATCAATTTCCTGACGCGTCTTAAACAGCTTTCGAACTGATTCCCACAAAAATAGGAATTATTACATTTGATATTGTTCAACCAGTACAAGTGGAGATTCGTAAGATATATGAAATTAATTTATTCGTGTTATTTACCCATGCATAAAAAGCTAATAAACTGGGAGAAATCCTGTTTAATATGACATTTACATAATCCAACCATAAAACTGCGATTTCGAAATAAACGTACCCGAGTGTTCATATCAGTGGATGACTTACTGTCGGTGATTAAGTTCAGCCAAAAGCCCAATACACAGACCAGTATTAAAATACTGATCATGAGACATTATAAGCGACAAGGTTGTTATCCCAACACCTCATAATAACCGAGAAGTAACCCCACAAACCCTAATTCTGTTGGTTGGTGACATTTCTTCTTCCTGTAAAACGATAAGATCAAACTTTTTCAGGTGCTTCTACATTCTTTCTTCTTTCTATGCCCACTGTTTGTTTATTGTGTACTTATAGATAACAATATTTTTTCATATCCTGTTCTTCCCACAAATTTTATTTACGCCTTTTACTTTTCTCATATTAATCATGTTTCCCATTGTATAATTTAATAAAACATGATAAATCACTATCTGTTGTCCATATGAACACTAAATTAGTCATAAGCACATCGATAAATCTCTGATGAGATAAACATTACGCTAACGCTAATGAACATGGGTAATTTATGTCTTAATTATTTTCGACATGCTATTAGCGTTTTTCGCTTTTTTCTCTTGTTCACAATTATTTCCTTGGACATTTATGAAAATGAAACAAACAATGTAGGAAATCTATTGAAGAACTAGCTGTTTCTGTGCAATGTATTCGAATTCGTTAGATTCCCAGTTAATCATATCTGCTAATTTGTTACATTAAGTGTAGAATGAGGAACCGTAGTGTTAAGCTCAAAGTTCTAAACAGAGATGCTATGAGCCTTCACTGACTAAGATGACTGGGTTATCTTAAAAATGACATTATTGAATAAGTGATGATGAGTTAGGGTAAGATTTCAAAAAAAGTGAATAGTGGTCGAACCACTAAGCGGCTGACTCTTGTTCATTGCGAAGTAGGGAAGCGTAAATGTATGTAAATGTGCCACTCCTACTATGCAGTTTTTTATTAGTTCATTATGATCAAAATTTGTTTGCCTTATCGTAATGTCCAATACTAACTTCAGATTTAAATCTATTAGCTGAGATCCAAATTTCAACTAGTTGGATGGGTACATAAGAAGCTTATTCGCAAATAAAAGTTGGCGCCAAAATAAAGAATATGTTGAGAGTTGAATCTTTTAAATTGTGAGGTTTTTTTACCAATGACGAATAGAATTTAGCTACCCTTAGATGTTTAAACAATTCATTTAGGCTGTTTTCAGCTTTCACGTCTCATCTGAAGACCAGGATTGACTGCTTCAATTCCAAAAGGAAATGAAGCGGTCAACAAACTAAACGTTGGTTTAAAAGCGTCGAGACTTCCAAGTCGTCGTAACAGCTCACTACGGCGTTAAAATGTAATGATCATATTCCTGAGAGGATTCCCATGAGAAGTATTGTGTGCCTTATGTTGGGAAATAAGATTAGTTGAGTTCTTCAATTTACATATATAATAGAGGGTGTTTGATTCCAAACGCTCTTTTCAAAACTTTAATGAAGAATGATGTATTTGTAAAAAATTATTTCAAATTACCTTACTGCTGCTCGTTTTTACGTTCATTATTGTTTATATTGCAATTCATTATGATTTAAGGAAACTAAAGATATAAGTAATGAAAACTGAAAATCTTATCAAATTTTTTATCTGTCATCCCATGTGACAAATGATCTTATCACGATTAAAAAATACACAAGTATATGAGAAGTCAAATGAGGAGAACATTAGAAAGAAATACAACAGACCATAACAATAACAGATCCAAATCAGCGTTGACCCACTAACTTAAAGTAATGATGGTTGAGGCAAATAGTACTAATTAAAATTTATCGACATATAAAATCCGAGAATCAATAATCATAAATACAAAAAATTAGCTAAACCTATTCAAAAACAGAATAATATTAATTTTGAGTTTTCAACAGTTTATGCATCCAAATCACAACACCATGTAAGCACAAAGAATGATACAGTCAAACTAATTATCAAAGGTATCAAAAGCCATATGCGTAGACATTGTACTAAAACAAAACCAACAAGTCTAAGAACGGAAATAAAGCAAAAAGAAAAGAAAATTCCAGTTTAGTTAATTTTATACGACACGAATTCGCAAAATAAGTGTGCAATTGTAAATTTTAATAACTCAACAACATAAAATAATGAAGACATAGGATTCTGTTTCTTATTCAATCACTAACGTATGGTTATTTTACTCCTAGTAGCTAATCAGATGATCAAATATGAGCGAAATATCAGTCATTGTTTCTCTCTTGGCTTTATCAAATTTTATATTTCAATAATCTCTTGCTAAATATAAAAGATTAACCTAGTTTGCAAATTTAGTGCTTCATTTTACCTTCAAGAATGTGGCCTCGGTTCTTATAGTAAACACCTATGGGTGTACCTTTATTTTAGCTATATATATTAGCTGAAATTGCATAGAAAATGAACTGGGGTACCCCGTCTTATGTTGAAGCATATTCTTCGTAAGTGATGCGCCTTTAAGATGATTAATTCACCACAAACATTATGATATTTCTGAGACGTTATTACTACTTTAGCGCAATTGATGTTTGGTAATATGCTCATTATCTCAAAAAGTAGAGCTGCATCCAGTAACGGTCAGAAATAATGATTAAAAATGTATGCAAGCAAACTTACATACGCATGTTACCCCTCGAGGGAGAGCATAGGCCACCCACCAGTGTTCGTCATCGAACGTGTAGCATGTTCGGATTTCAGTGATTCAGCTGGTATATTGTCAGGTCCTACTGATTTCCCACTCTTGATTTGTCTGATGGCCATTCTGACTTTTGATCGTTGGTGGAGTGACCTCTGTTGGAGGTCTGTGTGTACCGCTGCTATGTTTGGTGGGTCCAGTTGAGCTGTTTATTCAAGAGTTCTTCAAGTTGACCTACCCATTTGTTCCTCAGCTCTTGATTCTCAGTGATTGGTTTAAGCTTCTCTGTTCTGGACTGGCTTACCTGGCTTACTATATTCCCCTACCAGTTTCTTCGTTGTATCATATAGTTGTTTCATATTTCCCGCTCTTCCAGCTATCTCCGCTGCCACTACTAGCTCTTCCATCTATTTCTTCTTATCAGCTCTAATACTCCAATTCACTTGCTCATTTGATTTTGTGTATTCGGTCTGTACCTTGACCTTCTCCGTTATTGTTCGGCTGTTGTTGATTGCCGTCTTCATTGTGATTCCCTCGCTCTTTGTTTTCAAAGATGCTTTGTTGATCCTGGATCCAAGAGATCCCCATCCTATAAGTGCTCTACGAGCTTCTCCTGAGACCATCAGAGCAACTCCCTCAGTGTGTGCAGCATTTTCTTCTTCGTCACCAGAGTACAGCAACATCCCTACCGAATCTATCTTTTCCTGTCCACACTGGGTTCAATAGGTTTCATTGATTCCGAGAACCGTCAAGTTATATCTCCTCATTTCCGCAGCTATTTCATTGATACTCCCAGTCTCCCACATTGTCCGAACATTCCATGTACCTATATTAATTGTTGCTGTGGTTGTTAGGAAGGGATTCTGTCTCGTGACTTCCGAAGGATCTCGGCTTTTGCCATAAGGTGTTATAATTCTTTTGAATGAAGACCCTTCAACTCGGAGGGTAGAGTTTAAGTGATTTAATTTGTTTATTCTGGTTAGTGTTTATTAGCAAGATTGTTTTCTATGGGATGTGGTTGCTGACCCCATTCCCAACCCTCCTCTTTTGTGTGGGCATGGGACCGGTGGTAACCTCAGATGAACTACAGGTAGAGTTATGCAAACAAAAATATTCGATGAAATTCAATAGTAAAGCATCTAATGATGTTATGTTTTTTGCGTTAAAAAACATTTAATTACAGAACAACACGTACATATCATTACATGGAACCAACAATATAGTAGGAACATTTACAACTTCTGAAAATTTAGTTGTATTGGATAGTGCAAGTGAAATAACAATTGGTTGACCAGTTGGTTGAGTTGGGAGTCGATGAGCAGCCAATAATTTACCATTAGTTCGATCAACAACACCAACAGAATCCCATCCAGTAGAAACCAATAATGGCATAGTAGGTATTGTAGGCTGAAAATACAACAATTAAGGAATATTAGTAAAATCATAAGCTCGACATCACTGAAGGCATCTATTATTGGTTGATATCGATTGAGATGGTATGATAGAGCATTGCTTGGTTTTTAGCATACTCAGCTATCAACTATGAAGCTGCAGATGAAAGACCAATCTAAATAACTTGGATTAGGCCAGCAGCTAGTATTGCTGATTCACACTAGCAAGAGCGAGTGACAAATGGCGCACTGGAGAAATAGAAATAACAAGTTGTTACCAAATTCGAAAAATTACAATACATTTTGAAGGTAGACTCATCATTAAACTATACTTAAAATAACCCATAGTGTCATTGAATAAGAAAAAGAGAATTCAGCGAAGAAAATTTTCTTTTCGACGAAATCATTTACTTAAGCTGTACATTCGTATATATAGTTATATGGAAAATGTATGTCTATAGAAGGATAGAAAGGATTGTATCACGAAAAATGGATTCGACAATAAATAACAAATGAGGTTAACGTACTAATCAAGGGGTAAGGAAGAACAAAATTTAAGGGTCAGATGATAGTCCAATTGACAGATTGACAGATATGAAGAAAAACGACAAAACAACAAAGGTCATAATAATAAACTGAATGATAATCAAGAAAACTTGTAAAAGGTAATAATAATAAATGATTCAAGTTTAAAGTGCAAAATAGTAATTTAAAAATATGGATAATAATAAAAGTACATTAGAAAAAAAAACACCTAGCAACATACCCATTAGGGCCAAGGAAGGATTAAAGGTTGGACAAATCGTTTCTGCACACAAAGTTCAGGCTTTAGTTTGTGGATTGCCAATGCCTCTGCGGTGCATAAAATATTGATTCGAACCCCCTTCGATCCAGTTCCTTTGACTCTGTAAACTATTTTAAACGAAGAGTCTTTTGGAGCGATATGTCCACAGTTGATTAAGTGCTCCTGTATAGAACTCGTGATTGTTTTTCGCTCTCCTTTCAAAAGCCAAGCCGGATAATGTTCCGAGATGCGTTTGGATAATGATCGCTTTGTGGGGCCTATGTAACGTGCCCCACATGAGCAAGTAAATTTATAGATACACATTGAAGTGGCCCAAAGCGAAAGTTTGTCCTTTACGCACACCAGAATGGTAGGTCGGCTAGAGAAGATGATTCGACATACATTTTCCATATAACTATATATACGAATGTACAGCTTAAGTAAATGATTTCGTCGAAAAGAAAATTTTCTTCGCTGAATTCTCTTTTTCTTATTAAACTATACATTTAGAAAGCTACGTATTGATCAATCGTAGAGGCGAAAAGACAGGGAAAATCAGACACAGCCGGTTTAATGTCAGCTCGCTTTCTTCGCTCCCACCGTTTTGATTGGATACCAATATTACTAAACTGGTGGTGTGGATCTGTTGCCTGGAGAAAGACTTCTCGACCTTGAGTATGCGGACGATATTGTCTTACTGTGCGATAATGCCCAAGGCATGCAATCCGCACTTAATCAGTTTGCAATCAGTGTCCGTAGGTATGGTATGTGCTTTGCACCTTCGAAGTGCAAGGTACTCCTACAAGACTGGCAGGATTCCAATCCTGTACTCACCCTGGATGGTGAGCAGATAGACGTAGTCGAGAAGTTCATGTATCTGGGTAGCTGCATAAGTGCTGGTGGGGGTGTGAGTGATGAGATCAATGCACGTATAGTGAAAGCCAGAGCGGCTTATGCCAATCTGGGCCACCTTTGGCGCCTTCGTGATGTTAGTCTGGCTGTAAAAGGTCGGATCTACAACGCGTCGGTGAGAGCAGTTTTGCTCTATGCTTGTGAAACCTGGCCTCTCCGAGTTGAGGACGTTAGACGACTCTCTGTGTTCGATCATCGCTGTCTCCGAAGCATTGCTGACATCCAGTGGCAACATCATGTCAGTAATGCAGAGGTTCGGCATCGTGTGTTCGGGCACAGAGATGATAACTCAATTGGTGTCACCATCTTGAAACACCGACTTCGGTGGCTTGGACATGTTCTACGAATGTCGTCCCAGAGAATTCCTCGTCGAGCATTATTTGCCGACTCTGGGACTGGTTGGTAGAGGCGGAGAGGTGGTCAGTGCATGACATGGTGTTGTGGTATGAAAGAAAGCTGCAAAGGACTGGCTTCTGTTGGTCCTCCACGACTCCCTGGCTGGGGTCCGAGAGACGGTGCGACACAGTGGCTAGAGACGTTATCAGATACGGCTGAGAATAGAAGCCAGTGGCGATCCTGCTGTAACCTTTTACTTTCTTCATAAAAGTGATTGTTTCTTCCTTAACTGAAAGATTTGTTCTGATTGTACCTTTCCGTTCCCTCGTTACCACCACACTACCTTACACCAATCTCTTCGTTATTGTTCTCTTTTTCTTTTGCGCTCCTTAGTTTTTTTTTCTATTTCTCTCCGAATTCTCATTGTTTTGTGTGAACGAAAAAAGGTATAGCTCGAGGCAGAACAAATGCACCTGTATTTAATGAGTTGTCTAAAACATGATATAACTAAATCCTAGGTACCGATATACATCCTCACAATTTCGCATACAGATTAGACCAGGTAATATATATGATGTTCCATTATCAATTGGATACAAAAATCATTTTCACTGTAAATGAAACGAATACTGGAAAAGTTGGAACTTGTGAAACAATTTTTGAATTATCATACATGCTTTTACTGTATGATCAGTGAACAACTATATTATTGTATTTCTACGTTTTCTTCATTATAAGCTTCCAATGGATCTACTAATTTTCGTTAAACGTTTTACCATTCCTTAATTATTGCTAATTATGTACTGTGTGTCTCGCTCTTTACTGTTTATAGTGTAATTGTATTTAGTGTGATTTTTTTATTTGGTATGTTATACAGTTTGACAACTCGTGTACATAGGCCAGTGGGTGTTTGAGAAAGTTCTTAATTGTGTTGGCTGGCAGGGCTGGATGATTAAAATGTGGGTATGCTAGAAGCTGACTGCTAACTGCTCTCCAGACTTAAGGCAGGGGATAGTGAAAGGTTTCTGGATAGCGGACCAATAGAAGCGTAGCTTTCGTCGGCACAGAGTTAACTGTGCGGGTCAGAACGTATAGTTAGTTAAACGAAGGACGCTAGCATATAAACTGAATAGTAGACTCACTAACAAAAAATCTCTAGTCAGGATTGTAGCTGGTAAATTTAGCACGTGATATCAATTAGTGTCTCAAGTCACAACAATAAAAATATATACGTTTTTTACTTAAAAGTTACACTTTAATAATAGAAATTGAATTAGTAATTTCAAGCTAAAACTCAAAACCAATAGGCGAATTCTTAACACGATCCTCAAACTTTTTCTGGAAATCTACTTTTAAAGGCTCATGGTGGAGTTTCGTTCTCTGAGCAGGATGGTTTATTCGTGGAGCTGTCATCGTTCTTCTGAGCATCATCAGCACAATCTGAATGTCGAGATCTTGGATAGAAAGAATCCTAAAAACACCAGAGAATTTTTAGAAGCTTGGAACTCATGTCAATCAGCAATCAACAAACACATTGAAATCAATCCAATCTATCAACAGATCAGAAAAATCATGGACAAATATAGGAAAAATAATCAAATCAACAGGATATACAATCAAAATAAAGTAAACAATAAGAGATTAAAGGTCCAAATCTAGGTCTACAGGACAAGCTGTGAGTCATATGTGGAAAAATCCGAGCACATCTACGTGAAGTTGTTATTGATGGCGCTGTTCAGAAGAACGATGACAGCTCGGCGGCCGAACCATCCAGCTCATAGAACAAACCCCACCAAAATCATCAACCTGAGCTACAAATCCCCACTTTTAAAGGCTTCGCATAACTGGAAGACTGGTTAACAATTACAGTACAGTAGAAAAGAATTATTACCCCTCCATGAAGAAAAAAGTATAGATTGAATAAGTTATACACTTGGATTTTCATCCAATTGAGTAAACTTTATTCACTAAAACGGCATCACCGATGATGATTTTTAGCTCGACAATGAAAATATTATCAATTAAATTTTAATCGTAAATGCCGATTCAATTTGAACACCTATACTCTGAACTACAAGCACATGGAGCTAAATCAAACAACAGAGCGGATAAATATCAAATAATCATAACTACTTAAGCAGATGTCGGAGATAGAATTTTAAAAAAGCAAACTAACCCACTGATTAACAAAGAAATTAAATCAAAAAGTGAGTAAATAGAAATACATCTACTGATATATACAGTCAGCAGGCAACACTATCCAGAATCTGAATAGACTTCATTGTGATTGGATATTACCTTTATTGTAAGTCAGTGTTTAGATGACATAAATACAAACACAGTCAAAGTGATTTGACCTCGTTACGCTGGTGGGCAGTTATAATAGAAAATGAGTTTTTCAACAACAAGCTTTTGGTATTTTTTAAATCATATGAACCTACCTTTATCTTGGAAAATACGCTAAGATCACGAACAAATCCTTGTCCTAAAGATGCAAGATTGATTGTAGTTAACGTGGGATGAAAGTGTTCTATGTACAGATCATCTAAATGCTTATCAACAGATCTTTCCTCTCCATGAGACGCAAGTGTTCCTAAGGTTCGTGAAACTTGTAACCAGGAGACTTCAGAATTTACCTACAAACAATTTTCAAGACAATGATTTGAATGCAACAAGAACAAATGGTCAATTTGGGGGAAAAGATTCATAATGCTTCATCTTTCCTTCATTCTCGTTTTCACTACAATTAATCCTTGTTTACATTCCTGTTTTCTTCAATTCGATCTTCTCAACCTTCGGATGCCAGGCATTTCACTTCTGATCAGTTACATACTACTTACAGTTGTCAACATAAGTAGCACACACCACAATACTACCAAACTAAAGAAACACTTTATTTCGACAATATGATGTTTAAGTAAGATGACAGCAACTGGTAAATGAATAAAACAAAAATCCTCGGTAAAAATAAGCAACAAAGCAACTCAACAATAGCAAAAAATTTTAGGTTTTGTTCTTTCTTACAAAGGATAATTGAAAATAGCACTGAAAATGACCATTCTTATCGTTATTGACAGGACTTATTAAGTAAATTGAAAAGTCCGCTGAAATTTATTAATGAAGTTACAAAGATTTCAAAATGATTCCTGATCGAAATCACCATTTATTTATTATACTAACAGCATGCTACAATCTGTTCAACTTATTACAATTTCAACTATAAATCACTAGAAATAATGGGTTGTCAAATAAAACTAGCCTATCCATTTTGTGGAAGAAACTAACCGTAATATCGCCAGAAATGCTTATGATTAATGACAGAATACAAAACATATAAAACACTTAATTCATTTTTGTATTGATTGCATAAATCCTCCCATTGATGTTTAGGACTGCGATTGATCAGTCTCTCATTGTACATATGTGCATCTTGTACGGATTGTCTCGATATTGCTTTCAGTCACAAGCATTATAAGCTAAGATCGTAGTGGCTAGCAGTGAAATCCATGATGCGCGTTCCGCCCTATTTCGGACTCATCAGCTGTACGTACCTGAATCCCAGAGTTGATGTCCACTCCGAGACTCGAACCCAGCACTGTTCGCTTCAAACACCATCGCATTATCCATTTAGCTACTGAGTCTAGATAACCACTAGCTTGTGCAATGAAGTGAGGATTGATTCATTTTGTATTGGTTGCTTGGATCTTCCTATTGATGTGCAGAACTGGATTCGAGTCTTTGAGTGAACATCAACTCTGGGATGCAGGTACATCCGGCGGAACAAGAACAATGAACTATCATTTTTAAAACGAACACTGATCAATTGTTTAAACGATATTAATATATATGGTCTCTGCTCAAATATCTTAATTTCATCTCTATTCATACTGTGGTGAAGATCAATTTGGGAAGCGACACATTAGAACCTAGTACCAAACAATATACTAACTTACGCGCCAGTTTTCATACCCATAGTTCGATACAGAAGTAATAATTCCATCCGAAGTTAAAAAGTAAATGTCATGATGTTCATGATCATTTGTATGGCTTAAATCTTGATTCATACCGTAATGATTGAATTCATCAGATTTATCATGCATCAACGAATACCATAATCTAGCTAAGCCTGATAATGGAATATGTCTGTACATCAAAAATAGAGGAAAAAATAAGAGATCAAGTGGCGTACACTAACCGTTACATAGGTTTATGACCAGTTTAATACCGATAAATGAAAATAGAGACAACTCACTTTGCTTAATAATAGTTATCACTTAAGTTAAGCTGCATTAACTCAGTTGTGTGTGGAACGATGAGGCTTAGTAGGCGCCCCAACGAAATGAAGATTCATTGAGCGAAAACGTTGATAGTCTCCATCTACTCATTACCTTATTCTTAAGGGCATTTTCCCAAATAATATCGATCTTATTACTAGATCATGGCAAATAAAGTGAGTACACAACCCGACTGAGTTGCTATGATTAGTCTTGAACTGACAAAAATAAAAGAATGTCGAGCTGTATATTGTATTGTCTAATAGAACACTAGAAAATTTATTTTACTTTAAACCTCTATCCATTCATGAATGCAATTAAAGATGTGAGATAATCCAAACCGTATGTTGAGTGAAGTATTCACTAAGTCATCAGAATTTATTCAAGTCATCAAAAAATAAACATTATATTTTAAACAAGCCTTAACATTTAGCCTGATTCATGATTGGTGTCAGTTATAAAATAAAAGACCACTATGTTTTACAACAGAATTCACTGGTAGTACGCATTTTTGATAACCATTAAGAAATAAATATGTAGGACTGTTAAAATGTATATCTTAATCAAATCATCATCTTAATAATAACTTTTATATTTATCAGAATGGGGTCGTGAAGATGATTGAATTTCATTTAAATTATGAACCAATGTTTCAATTAGACCACCACTGAAAACTTGGGAGCACTAACCGGCCATTTCGTCTTCGTATGGGACTTCTCATCAGTGCGCATTTACGACCCTGCACACAAGAATTGAACCCAGGACCTTCGATCTCGCGCGCGAACATTTAACGTCTATATTTAGTTGGTTACACAGTCTCTTACCTAAATGGTGCCGAATAAATCAGGTATCAACCAACAACATAAAGTGTTTTCACAGAATGAGAAATCATTAAGCAGAAACAATATGACAGGAATAGATGAAACAAATTTGTCTGATAAATCAACTTCATCGACCTATTTCTTAGTTAATGAACCTTTCTAAATTCATTGAACTAAACAAATTCTGTCTTAGTGTTGATTATATTCGAAATCTATGCCACAAATATCTAGCACAAAAAGAAGTCATAAGCTCTAGAACCATGGTTATAAAGGATTATCAAAAGCCAAAAATAGTGTTAAAGGCGCCAAATTAGTTAATGAGGCTATGAATCTTCATAGATTGATATGGCTGAGACATATGTTATGTGCGCCTAAGCACAAACTAAATCAATGTGCAATGCTGGATGGAGTAAGGGTAGGTTGGAAAAACGCTACAGGTGGCCAAACAAAGCAACCTATGAAGTATGTTAGTAGGTGGACACTGTTAGGTTTGGTTATCCTTGAGGATACTACTGATTCGACTTATTCGGAACGGAACGAAGGCTCAGGATTCAGAGACTCAATAGACTATTCTGGTCCGTTGTCTTCGACTCAGCTAACTCGATCAAGAAGTCTTGGTAAGGCGTAGAAAGTGTATTCTACAAGCAACAGCAGATACCAAGTCAGGCAGGCAGATCAGATCAAGCATACAAGTCAAGCGTATTTATACAAATATATATCGATTTTGTCATAGGAAGTTTTAAACAATAATCAATGAGTCATCAATTGTATGCTATTTAAAAATTCAATCGATAAGTTCATCAACTGACTGCCATTCAAATATTTCAACATTTAATCGATATGACAAAATTACAAAATATGAGTTTTGGGGATATGTCGTCCCCAACAGACACACAACTGAGATCAGTGGTTAGAGACTTTAGGAGAGACGACTCAGAATTGGTCACAATGACACATATTTATCGTTTATCCTCCTCTAAATCTTCTATGTATACCATTTTTATTCTGTCTTCCTGAATCATTTTCTCAATGTTGGATCGTTCTCATGGTCATCACTATTACATTATTTTGGTTTGTTTGCTACTTATTGATTTCATCTCATCATCCTGATATGGTATGGCAACTTGGGATAACGTATATTTATGCCGCGCTATATTTTGATTATGACTGACTAAAGCATTGGAATTTATAGTCAAAAGATGAAACGTTGTTGAAAACCTAGTAATGATATGGCTAGTTCATAACTGAACCAGCAAGTTTTACAAGCCATTAACTTGATTCATTAATTTGATTCGTGTCACTATTTAAATAAAAGCACATAAAAACGACTTTTAAAACTACCTTTTCACCACAACTGGTGGAGTAGATTTTCTTGAATCTTCTTGCCAATTAGGTCTACCTAGTCTGGAATACTCCCACAATCTGAAAGGACGACACAAACCATGATAAGTGGATGAATGAATTGCAATCATTTCGTTTGAGTAAAACGATTTGACTGCTTGCCAGTTATTAGGTGCAGATTCGTGACGGATGAATATACCCTGACAGTCGACAGTATGTGAAAAGTCACTCTCCAGAGATGAATTAACATGGTCAGAACTAGAATGCACTTTTATCTTCAAACCATTTGATGGGGAATCCGTAATTTCCGAAGCAATTCGTAGTTCATAAATTGTAGGCGATCCAAGCTGGCGACTAATCAGACCATCAGATACCGGAGTAGAGAGAATAGTATATGTTGATCCGATCTCTAAAATAGGAAAGAGTACATAAGTAGGACGTTCTATTATATTTCTCTCAAACTAATAAAATTTAAATAGCACAAAATAAGTGTCTTCAATATCGCGTTTGATATTTGGTTAAAGACGAAATGCATAGCATCGGTTAGATATATTTTTGGCAGAAAATGATCTTCGAAAGTGTGGTACTCTGAGAGGCTCACTGTTTTTCCAGTTATGTGTAGTTTTCTGCCTGCCTAATGGCTTGCAAAGTATATAATGTTTAGAACTACTTTTTCCTTACCACTTTGTTAACTATTTACAGCCTAAACGTCTTCAAATTTACAAATGCGAAGTTTAACATTAATTTTGTAGACAAATGGATGACTGAAAAAAACCAATACTAATGTTCAGTTAAAAAATATTAAGATAACCTCTAGTAGTTTTTAATAGCTTGTTAAGTAAAATGTAATCTCTTATCTCAGTTGAAAGGTAACCATTATCAAACTTTGATTCAACGAACCTAGAATGCAGTTTCTCACCAATATCGAACGCAACAATTCTCTCAAAATACCATTATCCTCCATCTTCGCGTTAACAATTAACGAGCAATACAGCAATTTGAATTATTCAGTTGAAGTTGCCATAACTGAATAGTAGTAATTTATATCATGAGGTCTATGCTAAGGAGTAACCAAACATGGTCATATTCTGACATCGCAACAATTCTTCCAAGAAAAAACCAGTAAGCTCTTTACTCACTCCATCTTAAAGTAATAGTCATAAGCGGATGACCAGATTTTAAATCTAGAAGATCTAGACCTGATTGATGGATCACAGCAATTGCATTTGGGGTACGCAGAGACTTTTCTACAGGATATTCTGAGTGTTTCTTTGCATATACAAGGCGAATTTCACAACTACCCACACCATACCAACGAACAGGCTACAAATGATAAATAAGGAATTGAGGCTAGTTAAATACTCAACGCACAAAATAAAATATATTATGCATATCTTACGTTTAATAATAAATATGCTATATTAGAGACAAAGACTGTTTAGTGAGGAAGGCTAATAAATAAAATAATTCGCTTAAGTCACCAACAAGTACATTAAACAGTTGGCAACCCATGTCGCTCACCCAAGTAAACCTCTCTCCATACAACACGTAACATATATTCTGCGAAACCTACACAAAAGAATCAGCCATATAGTCTCATCTCAAAATGACAAAAGAATGAACACAACCAGGTTGACTCGTTCAGGAGGGAAGTTACAGGAGTAAAACTCAGGAAATCGAATCTTAAAAGGTCTAAAAAGGCATTGTGAGAGACAAAGTTATTCACTTGCACTAGTGAACTTGTGGTAACCTCTTTATAAAAATACCACGACTTGGATTGATGAGACTTTGAAACGTGAACACAATATTCAAAGATCTGGGCTCTTCTGAGAAATCCTATAACAAGGTTTCCTTCTTTAAAAACTAATAAACAAGATTCATAGTAAATGAAGTCGAATAACAAGCTTAGTAATAGAATTATAGTAATAAAACTTACGAAAATATGGGAGAGACTTCCAGTGAATTCGGTCCACTGGGATTCATCAATATGTGTGCTAAACAGATATTGTTTCGAAATGCGTATTTTCCAGTTCTTCAAAACTAAATCACTTTCATAAGCCTACGTTGAAAAAAATGACGTGTATTATACAGTGATGCAATTTACTTTCATCAAAATCACCTATTCAATCGATAATTCACAGGGAAGAACAATATTACGTAGAGTTAATTGATACGTCATAGATTTAAACGCCATTACTGATTAGTACTCATTTTAAGTAGTATTCAGTCCATGATCTAATATTTCAAGATATTCATTCGTAACTAGTGGATTACAATTATACAAATACACTCTGCGAGAGAACAATTTTACGTTGGTTTTCAGGAGAACCAGACACTATCCAAGCTTTTACACTAAGAACTGAACAGAACAGCTCAATTCTATGGGGCGACGACGCAGGTACCAAGATCCCTGGACAGTCAAATAGATTGCAAGTCGAGATCTATTCTACTTTGGTTTACAAACTCAAGCGTCATACGTGTGGTTTAACAGCAGAGAAAGCCAGAAACAAACTAAATACATAGAGGCAAAAAACGAGTGAAAAGAGCGTTAGAGCTGATAAGTGCAAATATGTGCAAGACATAACAATGATAGCATAAAAAGGAATATGAAACAAAGATACGATACGACGAAAAGACCAGCAGGGAAATATGTTCAACCCGAACGAACAGGTTAGAAAAAAACAGGCAATCCAATCATTGAGATTCAAGAGCTGAGGAACAAATGGTCAGAACAATTTGAACTTTTGAATAGGCCAGCTCAACTGAACCCACTAAACATAGCAGCAGCACACACAGACCTCCAACAGAGGTCACTCCACCAACGATCAAAAGTCAGAATGGCTATCAGACAAACCAAGAGTGGGAAATCAGTAGGACCTGACAATATACCAGCCGAAGCACTGAAGTCAGACATAGAAGCAACTGCAAACATGATCCACACTCTATTCACGAAGATTTTCGATGAGAAACAAGTGACGCTGATAAACTGGGAGGAAGGAGACCTCATCAAAATACAAAAGAAAGGAGATCTAAGCAAATGTGAGAACTGCAGAGGCATCGCAGTACTATCGGTATCACTAGAAGTTTTCGATAGTGTTGCTGAACCAGACGAAAGACTCAGTAGACACACAACTTCGAGATCAACAGACTGGATTCCGTAGGGATCGATCGTGCACAGACCGAATCCTAACACTACGGATCACCGTCGAACAATCGGTTGAGTGGAACTCGTCAACACACATCAACTAACTTGATTATGAGAAAGCATTTGACAGCGTGGATAGAAGACTATTATGTGATTTTTATTCTCTGAAGAAGTGACTTACACTAAGTCACGAAACGTCAGGAAATCTAATTTTCTACTCATTGGGATATTACAAATATATTATTCTTATTTATTGTTATGTGATGTTCTTCGAAACTATAGTGTATTTGTGGAAGTCGTCAGCATCAATCGCAAATCACACGATGGACTACACTGGAAAATCGTGCTTGAAGGACAGCTGACAGACGCATTCCAAGTGAGGATTGGAGTCAGTCAATTCTGCTTACTCTCCCCCTTCCTCTTTCTTTTGGTAGTTGACTGGATTATGAAGACCTCTACTTCTGAGGAACTCCGCCTCTAGCTCTTCTAGAAGTACTGCCGGTCCCAAGCTCAGGTAAACGAGGATGGTTGGGCATGGGGTTAGCGACCCCATCCCGTAGAAAACTAACTCGCTAAAAAAACGCTAACCAGAAAAAATAATCCAAACCATTTTAACTCTGCCTTGGGAGTTAGGAGGTGTTCATTTAGAAGAGTTATGACGCCTCATGGTGAAAACCGAGCTCCTTCGGAAGCCACGAGGCCGATGCCCCTTATAACAACTAGAGCAAAATTCTTATAGGTACATGGAACGTACGGACAATGTGGGAGACCAGAAAGACCAGTCAAATAACAACGGAAATGAGGAGATACAACTTGGCAGTACTGGGAATCAGCGAAACCCACTGGACCCAAGCTGGACAGAAAAGGCTAGCTACGGGAGAGATGCTGCTATACTCCGGTCACGAAGAGGACAATGCTCCACACACTCAGGGAGTCGCTCTTATGCTGTCCAAAGTAGCACGAAATGCACTTGTAGGATGGGAATCTCACGGATCCAGAATCATCAAAGCATCATTCAAAACAAAGAAGGAGGGGATCATAATGAATATTATCCAATGTTATGCACCCACCAATGATAGCAACGACGACATTAAAGATCAGTTCTACGAGCGGCTGCAGTCAATCATTGAGAAATGCCCAAGAAAGGACCTAACTATTCTGATGGGAGATCTAAATGCCAAAGTCGGAATAGACAACACCGGATATGAAGATATCATGGGACGACATGGACTGGGACAGAGAAACGAAAATGGAGAAAGATTTGCAAATCTATGTGCATTCAACAAATTGGTCATAGGAGGCACAATATTTCCACACAAGCGTATACACAAGGCTACATGGATCTCACCGGACCACACTACAGAGAACCAAATAGATCATATTTGCATCAACAAAAAATTCCGAAGGACAATGGAAGATGTGAGAACCAGGAGAGGTGCTGACGTAGCTTCAGATCACCACCTAGTTGTAGCCAATTTAAAACTGAAGCTAAAAAGAACTGGACAAGTGGACAAACAGCACTACAAAGGTTCAATACAGCCTTCCTTCGAGATACTGACAAACTCAATGAATTCAAGATAGCTCTCAACAACAGGTTCCAAGCCTTACAAGATCTACTGAAGAAGAAGAAGAAACTACTATGGAGGACAACTGGAAAGGCATCAAGGAAGCATTAACTTCAACGTGTCAAGAGGTTCTGGGCCTAAAGAAACACCATCATAAGGAATGGATCTCTATAGAAACACTGGACAAGATCAAAGAAAGGAAGAACAAGAAGGCAGCAATTAACAACAGCCGAACACGAACCGAGAAAGTACAAGCACAAGCTGAATACATAGAAGCAAACAAACAAGTGAAGAAGAGCATTAGAGCCGACAAGAAGAAATAAGTGGAAGAACTAGCAACGACGGCAGAAAAAGCTGCTAGAGAAGGAAATATGAAACAGCTTTACGATACAACGAAGAAACTAGCAGGGAAATACAGTAAACCAGAGAGGCCGGTCAAAGACAAAGAAGGCAAGCCAATCACCGAAATTCAACAACAGCGTAACAGATGGGTAGAATACTTCGAGGAACTCCTGAATAGGCCGGCTCCAATGAATCCACCGGACATCGAAGCAGCACACACAGATCTTCTTATAGATGTCAACCCACCAACGACGGAAGAAATCAGAATGGCCGTCAGACAAATCAAGAACGGGAAAGCAGCAGGACCCGACAATATACCAGCTGAAGCACTGAAATCAGACATCGAAGTAACTACAAACATGCTTACCTTTTATTCAAAAGGATTTGGGAGGAGGAACAAGTGCCGATGGACTGGAAAAAAGGACACCTCGTCAAGATTCCAAAGAAAGGAGATCTGAGCAAATGTGAAAACTACAGAGGCATTACACTACTGTCAATACCAGGGAAAGTCTTCAACAGAGTGTTGCTGAACCGGATGAAGGATGCAGTAGACGCCCAACTTCGAGATCAACAAGCTGGATTCCGTAAGGATCGGTCGTGCACAGACCAAATTGCAACACTACGGATTATCGTCGAACAATCAATTGAGTGGAACTCATCACTATACATCAACTTCATTGATTATGAAAAGGCATTCGACAGTGTAGATAGGAGGACATTATGGAAACTTCTTCGACACTACGGAGTTCCTGAGAAGATTGTCAACATTATCCGGAACTCATACGACGGACTACAGTGCAAAGTAGTGCATGGAGGACAGCTGACAGATGCATTCCAAGTAAGGACTGGAGTCAGACAAGGCTGTTTACTCTCTCCCTTCCTCTTTCTTCTGGTGGTCGACTGGATTATGAAGACCTCGACATCTGAAGGAAAACACGGAATACAATGGACAACTCAGAATCAATTAGACGATTTGGACTTCGCAGATGACCTAGCCCTCCTATCACGTACACACGAACAGATGCAGATGAAGACAGCCAGTGTAGCAGCAGTCTCTGCATCAGTAGGCCTCAGCATACACAAAGGGAAAACCAAGGTCCTCAAATTCAAAGCGGAAAACAGCAATCCAATCACTCTTGATGGCGAAACTCTGGAAGATGTAGAGTCCTTCACATACCTGGGAAGCATCATCGATGAACAAGGAGGTTCAGATGCAGACGTAAAGGCGAGGATCGGCAAAGCAAGGGTCGCATTCCTACAATTGAAGAACATATGGAACTCAAAACAACTTTCAACCAATATCAAAGTGAGAATCTTCAATACGAACGTCAAGGCAGTTCTACTGTATGGAGCTGAAACTTGGAGAACTACAACAACCACAATCAAGAAAGTACAAGTATTTATAAATAGCTGTCTACGCAAGATACTCAACATCCTTTGGCCGGATACCATCAGCAATAGCCTTCTGTGGGAGAGAACAAACCAACTTCCAGCTGAAGAGGAAATTAGGAAAAGACGATGGAAATGGATAGGACATACATTACGCAAATCATCAAACTGCATCACGAGACAAGCCCTAACTTGGAATCCTGAAGGGGAGCGAAAAAGAGGAAGGCCAAAGAACACATTGCGTCGGATAATAGAAGCAGATATGAAAAGGATGAATTACAACTGGACGGAGCTAGAAAGGATTGCCCAGGACAGGGTTGGATGGAGAATGCTGGTGAGTGGCCTATGCTCCTTCACGAGGAATAACAGGCGTAAGTAAGTAAGCTACTCCTGAGGGGAAGCACGGAATACAATGGACAGCTTGCATACAACTAGACGATATGATCTTTTCAATGACCTAGCTGTTCTATCCCACACACGAGCGAATACATACCAAGACAACCAGTGTAGCAGTAGCCACTGCATCAGTAGTCCCCAACATACACAAGGGAAAAAGTAAGATCTCCAAATACAACACGGCGAAAACCAATTGAATTAGACTTGATGGAGAAACTCTGGATGACGTGAAAACATTCACGTACCTGAGAAGCATCATCGATGAACAAGGAGGATCTGATGCAGACTTAAAGACAAGGAATGCTAAAGAAAGGACAGCTTTCGTACAGTTGAACAACATATAGGACTCAAAACAACTGTCTACCAATATCAAAGTCACAATCTTCAATACGGACGCAAAGACAGTTCTATTGTACGGAACTGAAACTTAGAGAACTACCATAACCATAATTAATTGTCTACGCAAGATACTCAATATCCGTTGGTCGGGAGAGAACAAAGCAGGTCCTAGTTGAGGAGAAATTAAGAAAAGATTATGGAAGTGGATAAGATATACATTCTGGAAATCACCAAACTGCATCACGAAGCAAGCGCTAACTGGAATCCTGGAAGGAAACGGAAAAGAGGAAGACCAAGGAGCACATTGCGTTGGATATTGGGAGCAGGCATCGAAATGATGAATAGCAACCGGGAAGGATTGCCCAGTTGGAGTTGGGTGGAGAATGCTTGTGGGCGGCCTGTGTTACTCCATGAAGATTAACAGCCGTAAGCAAAGTCATTAATTCCGTTAATTTTGGAACGTCCTAACATGCATATTTCCCACTAAAAATTTAACTCAATAAATAAAATCTACATCAGTAGTTTTATAAGTAAAATTCTAAACGATCAGTAGTGAACAAGGGATTAAGTATACACTTTTACTGTGCAATATTTTGAGTTTCACAGATTGTCTATCTAGTGCTTCTTGTTTTTCAGTGGTTATCCAAGAAAGTCAGAATGTGGTCTAAAACCACGGAATTCAACAATTTTCACGATCCCCTATACTGAAAGAGATAGTTTTTGTTATCAGTGGAAATAATTTAGTTTATTTTAAATTATAAAGCTATGCGCTACGTTGTGAAAGTAGGCTGAAAAACATCTACACATTTCTAATAATGACAGTGTGAAAAAGGAACACTAACCTGTTTATTTACATAGCACTTTATGATCAAACTTATCTTACTTTTATCGAACCTTCGAAATCGCCAACTAGATGGTGCCAAAGTATTTCCCCATCATCCAATGAAAGGGATATGGTAGAGTAATGTGATAAGGTGACACTAGGTAAGATGAAGAAACAATTGTATAAAATGAAATATTGCTAAAATTACGGCCTTTAAAAGATCCTTTGCTTTGAATAATGCAGACTACTAAGGATGAATGAATGAATGTTCAGATATATGTTAGAACTGTGAGAAGAAGTAATAAAAACACTAGTACACTTAAGTAGACAAATAAGCATATTTGTTTTTTAAGCACGTTATATTCGTCATTTTTAAATTGATGAGCGCATTAAGACACTTTTTACGTAGATCACAGAAAAAACTATGGTGGTTTGTTATTCGTTTACTGTTGATTGGTATTTATACAATGGTTATGCACTCTGCACCGTGGGATTGAAAAGTGTTTTCATAAGAGGAAGAACTGTGAGCTTTCGTGTTCATTAGAAGTTAGTGAATAATTATCGTACTTGTGTATTTATATCAGCTGCGGACGATATGAACCTGACGAAGTGGACTAGGATATAATTGAAGTGCGATCATTACAACACCTAACCATCAACCTCATAACACTGTTATGAGCTTGATTTACATACTCTAATATAGTCAAAAAATCATAGTTCATTAGTATAAATAAATGTACAACACATATTTGAACAGTTAAAGATATATAACAAAGATGAGGTTTTGTATAACTAGTTTTTTTGTGAAAGTACTATGTGCTCTTGAATAAGGTATAAAAAGCATTAATTTGAGTCTATGGAAAATAATCTCTGTAAATGAGATAACCAGAGACTATATAAGTTATCTAATCTAGTACTAATGATTATCATTGATAAAAACACGTAAATCTTAACAGTATGTAGCTAAATAGGACAGAAATCGTTCAAGAGAATTTAAAGGTAAGACCTTAAGTTCAAATAGTCTTAGAAAGTGTTGATTTACAGGGAATTCAACTACATTAACCCATTTTGACATCATCCATAGTATACAGTTTCTATAAATTTGGAAATTCTAACACAGAAGTACTTAAATATGAAGCAAAATGATAGATATGCGCGAGCATTTTAGATTAAACCTAGGATCTATAAAATTCCGTAGACTGTAATGACATGATCAAGGAATACAGATTCAAAACTGGGGACTCGATGGTCACCTTATGACTAATCAAGCAAAGCTATGGATGATTAGTATACGAAATTCAAGGGATCGATTTGAACTGAAAATTGATGCTAAGTGTTGCAAAGCTGTAGGGCTATTAGAAGCCTCTCAAGTCAGCATATAGCAGACATTTAGATCTGAAAGTGGAAAATCGCTAGATTGTTTTGCAACACTAAACAACCGTTATCCTCTAAAACCAGTTTTTGATTTGACACAGTATACGTACAGTCACAAAACACGATTCATAATACAGGAAATAATTATGCTAAGACCAAACCAAAAGAAAGTAACAACTATGTCTTAGTTCAGTGGGGTCAAACTAACCAAGTGCTTTAACTACAGTAGCGAATTAATTCCATAAACAGCAGTGGATTGGCGACTCTTAATGTTTGAATTCTACCTCTACGACAGTAGTATCACTATCCAGTACATAAGTATGACATAAACCTGAAGCTTGCAGTTTAGCATAATAGTGTATGTGCACGGTTGCTGAGTATCCCATAAACCAAGATAAGGGGGATAAACTCGTGACACAGACTAAAAACTTTAAAAGTTTATTTGTATGATCTAAATAAATTCGAAACAAAAATACTCCCAAATTTGCAATGAATCTATTTTAAAACAAAACAATCCAACAGATCAAACCTATCTCATGGTTTAACTGCATTGATTCTGTCTTGAACCTGGTCATGAACAACCCTGTTACAGTTGAATAGATGCGAACGTTCTTAACGATCACAACAAACGGGTATGGCCGTTTTTAGTTGGTGGAGCGACTTGTCTGGTTAATTCCGATAACAAACAAGAACTTTAACCTGATAAATAGTAGACTGGTCCTCTGTGCTCGTTTAGAGCGTGGCTTCCATTGCTTTTTATGGAGTAGTGTGGTCGTGAGCCGGCGGGTGCGGTACCACTTTTTACTTCTTAGAGGGACAAGCGTCATATTTAAGTGGCACGAAATTGAGCAATAACGCGTCTGTGATTCCTTTAGATGTCTGGGGACACACGTGCGCTACAATGACGGTGCCAACGAGTCTGAACACCTGGCCAAAAGGGTTGGGAAAACTGTTTCATCAAGTTCGTGACTGGGGTTTGCAATTAATCCCCGTGAATGAGGAAGTCCTGGTAAATGCAACTCATAAGCTTGAGCTGATTATGTCCCTGCCCTTTGTACACACCGCCCATCGCTACTACCGATTGGATTGGTGTCGTTGTAGTGGATTCGCCACTCGACTGATGCTGAGATGACTTAATCTGACTATTTAGAGGAAGTAAACGTTGTAACAAGGTTTCTGTAGGTGAACCTGTGGATGGATCATTATCATGACTTAAAAATATATAATGAAGCATGCACGCTGGCTTAGTGGCATTTACCCTAGGCTTCAGCGGTTGAATGAAGCATGCACCTGACTTCGTGCTGGACTGCATGTACGCTAGCATAGTGGTATTAACCTTAGGCTTCAGTGGTTATTATTATTATGTAATCTCGTGCAATTAAGTATTCCGAAATCTAACTTGACGCTCCGTTTTAACGTTACTTACATGATGGTTTTACAACAAATTGCAACCGTTTTTGGAACAATCAAATTAAATACTGAACTTTCTGTTATGGTTCATCCTTTACCGTCATGTTATTGATGTAAAAAGAAAAGTTGTCGAAATTGTTCCACCATGTTGCTAGTCTCAGTCACAAAGTGAATGTTTCCACAGTAGCAAGTCAAATTTCAATCGGCTTTCGTGAGCAGGATTCATATCATCAATAAGGTGGCTACACTAAATAACACTAACATCAGTTTCAGGGGTTCCGAAAACTAGATTTTTTCCTTAATAATGCAGTTTTGTTTGTGAATAACATAACAATGTTTATACAATCAATGTATTGATAAGGAATATTTGTCGTAGTTAGACACTAACTACCCAAATACCATCAGTGATCAGGACGCCAAAACCATTTGTTTTGCCATGACGCACTTAAACGATCATTTTGTAAATGTCTAAACATAATTCAGTAGAATTAAAAATGGGAAATTTCTGGCATTAGGTGACATATATCAATCCTTACAAGAATAAGTATTTAGAAGATCAAACTTACTTATTTGTCAGGAAACCGACAAAGATCACCCCACAAAGTCTAGGATAAACCAAACCGCATGTTAAATCAAGTGATAAGGAGATAGGAACTGATTTGAAGTCTAGCGCGTTCTCATCCAGTAGAATTTGGTAGAGAGCTCTCCTCCATGTTTCTCTGAGCTGACTATTGTACATAGCAATCTCAAACAAAACATAAGAGTTCACTGGAGAGCTAATTTTGCGACATTCTACAACCACATGGATCTAAACACAAAAAGTACATGTCTAGCAGCAAACCAAAACCTACCAAACTACCTTTATAAACAAAGATTTCAACCTGACCGGTTTCCGGTTAAAACTTTTTGACTGTATTTTTCGGAAATTTAGAAAATTGGCTATTTTACGATCAGGATCCATAACAGAAAACTCAAGTGACTTTGACATAGGGAGCTGGAAAACGACCAAAGCGTATGAAGAACTGCTATTTGATTGAGGAACAGCAACTGACAAGTAGATGCTCCAATTGTGTGATGAGTACTCGACAACTGTGCTAAACAAATTGCTAGAATTTCCATCTGACTCAAATGGAACATGTTTATTAGTTTTTAAATGTAAAGCCCAAACTGGTATCAGCGAAAAGCTATGATGATCCACCACAACGAACGAGATAACATATGCCAAAACTAGCATCCAAAGATGTTTTAGTTTCACTGAGCCAAAAAGCAACCTAAGAGACATCACATACTATGAACTTAAGTCAAGGTCAATACTTAAAAAAGTGCAAGAAGTAAAAATACGGTAGGTCGATTGGGGCTTGTTCGAAACAATTTCAATGATCAGTGAATGCTTGCTGTTCAAAACATTAAACCTTTTTTCATTCTCTTATTAGAATAGTATTCAATCTCTTATGCAGACAGGCTAAGGCCACAAAAATGATGTACTATTTTGGGTCACAGCAAACTATTCATTGTTTAGTATACTGCAGGTCTCAGTTGTGTCTACAAAAAGTCCATTGTGGTCTTTCTTATTTTTCTGTCTGTGCAAATGACACTCCCAAACAGATATTCTTCAAAACATCACAGCCTACCAATTATCTTCAGTTTTCAGTAGTAAGTATAGGTCTATCAACCCACGTTATACTCCTCTTATGTCTAGGACTGTGAAGACACAAACTTGCTTGGAATGTACCAAATGAACGTCTATATATAGTGTGTTTTGCTTCAGAACTGAGACAACTTATCACATTGTACAAATAACAAAACCACAGATAGTGAACCTTTGATTCGGGTCAATGACATTGTAACTGAAAATAAATCAACAAAATAAATAGCTCGGTAAGTTTTCGACATTGGATGCTGACCACATTAGTTTTAGTGGACTCACCTAGCTGAAGGAACTCGGTCATGCATCCGCTCCAGATCACGAGTGAGAACGCCTTGCTCAACAACCCCTGCAATCGCTAGCCAGATTAGATCAGACGATCCTCGATATATTGATGGCCAATCAAACATATATTCGAACGTCCTCGCTTATGTCTTTTGATTTCACTTGGTGGGTACGCTTCATATTAGATGATGTTACTGGTTAAAGCGTTGTCAAACTCCGAATACCTGTGGCATCTTGATTGGTGAGTTCGACGTGATCTAGTACGCCAAATTTCAAACTGTGAGTCTGTTCTTTTTGGAATTCCGTATATTATTACCTACTTACTTATTTACTTACGTACTTACTTACACCTGTTACTCCTAACGGAGCATAGGCCGCCGACCATGCTCCATTTTTTCAAATATTGTGATAATTTTCCCCGTGTTTTTTGATATTTTTTCACTCCTTCATTCTCGTACTTGATATTGCACCATGGTGGAACGGACGCCCAAGGTACTTAAGCTAAAGACTATATCCCCACGTCCGTTCGAACAAATGCCCTTCTGGCCGGACAACATCGAAGCCTGGTTTCGCTACGCAGAAGTCGACTTCTACACGCACGATGGGAACGACACACATGCGAAATTCCTCACAGTAGTCAAGGCACTACCGCGCAAACACAACAGGTACGCCGTATCGGGGTTAAAATCATAGTGTATGATGTTGTCAATAGATCTTGTTTTTTTTCTATTGAAGGGCAACCAAGAATTAATGCTTTAGAAGAAGAAGAGCAAGCCATGCATGCACTAAACTTACAGGATGACTCATAAGACCGTTTTGTAAACTAGCTCTCCTTTCTGTACATAACCTGTGTTTTTTAATTTCCGAATAAATGACTGTCGGTCTACATTCCGCGTTCTCTCTGTGGTGTAAAGCGCTCAGTTAACATAGTATGTGTCGTGGTTTTAGGTCTCCCAGCCTTCTAGTGACTTCTGCTTACACGTGTTGCAACAAAACACATAGTATGTTTACTAGTGACGTTTCCAAACCCTACGAAACACTTAAACGATCTGTCATTAAACGCGATCTAAACGATCGACAAGGATTAGATCAACTCCTTGATAATATCGACCTGCAATTTTTGTAGGGAATTAATACCATTGTAATGGTATAATATATTATGTTAAGGTTAACGAGATTAAATTAATTTAGACACAATTGTGTCCATACCAACTCTAGTGTTTATTACTAAGGATAGGTCAATCAACCTGCGTTAATCCTTCCGATTTGTAGCACTGTGAAAACCCAATCTTGTCTACAATCTACCAGCCGGAGGTGCTGATATTACATTTCCTGGTTGAGAATTCCAGTAATTCACTACTTTGAGCAAGAAACGAAACTCCAGATGCTAGCCATCTGAAGCAATTGTAAGAAAAACCGTATCTCAATAACCAGAGGATCCATCGACAAGCCGCCATCTTAATTAGTTGTTAGTATTTCACTATCATCGATAGAAAACACTATTAAAATATTCTGATAAACCTTCAGCGTTTCTTTCTAATCTAAGCGGATTTTTCACCAAAATTGGTGGGATTTCATCAATTCTCTAAGTTTGCATCTCTATGCTAGAGAAACGTTGACGAACTGTTTTCACAGTTCTTAACAAATTGTGTATCATATGAATGTCGAGCCTTATCAGCGCCTTGTAACCGTTCCTAGTCTTACAATAAGTGAATATGTACTGTTCAGAGTCTGTATAGATAAGCATACGTCAACGCCTTTTCCTACGTCTAAGCAGTTTTTTGACCTGTTTAGTTATGCATGGTGGTGAGTTAAAAGGTCCACGTGTTACTAAGATACAAACGGGGATGTAACTAAACCAAGTGTACCCCTAAGTATAGACCATATCTCTCTAATTGATGGGCTGATATTTACTGACCAGTCCATTTTCCCAGCACTTTTCTGTTTGACTGTTGTGTTTGCTCTCCACACATTTGAGGGGGGTGGCCAACCTGACCGTGTATTATGTCGCAAGCCCTAAACACGAGTGACAAAACACCATGATCGGTGGGAGGATATTTAGACAGGCAATATCCTTGGTTATATGAGTGACTACTAAGTTCGAGTTTTGTTTGAATCAAAATGTGTGGGTCCGAATACGTGTTGTATAAAGCATGCTCCACTACAGTCATCAGAAGCCTACTATCAAAAGTCTACAGTAACTACGGTGGTCATCTCTATCCAATTGATATCAGGTTCATTAAAACCTAATGTCAGTTGTCTGTTATTTTTACTTCATAGCTGAATGTGTTGTAAAATGCATCAGCAGAGCGGATTGGTCTAAGATAGATGACATAGAGTATAGATCTACAACCTTCAAAAGGGAGTTCATAGCTAGTTACTTCAAAAACACACCTTCGTGAAATCTGCAAACAAATAAACGGATATTTATATTGTTATTAATGTACATAAGGACTCAGCCACATTTCTTGCTTCTATTTCCAGATGAAATTCAACACCTTCAAGATTGCTGATTATATTATTCATCAGTTGATCAAATGTGTCTAGAGGACAACTTTGACGAACACGAAGTAATTTGTATTTGAATAGGCCGAGTGTTTGTTGTGTTCAAAATAGATGAAGATTGATATAGAGGAATCTGAAGGTAAACATCTTTTAATTTAACTCGCGAGAACACTTTAGAACCATGAACTCGACCTAGAATATCATCGGCTTCCACAATCGTGCATGACTGTCACGTGAATGAATGCACGATACGGTAATCGAATGATCATCGATGATTTTATGAGATTAACAAGAAAGTACAGTTATCAGATTGTCGCTGATAAACGGAGACTAATTTAAACTTCGAGTGAGAGTTTTTAAAGCGACTACCGTGTGGCAATAAATGTTTTATTACTTTAATTAATTTGTATAGGTTGTATCAGTCCTCCCATTTATACTAAGGTCTGTTATAAACCAGTCTGTTTAAACATATCGAGAACAAGTAAGGACTATCTCAATATTGTCATTAAGTCATGAGCATTCCAAGTAAAGGTGAATGGTGACTAGCAGTGGAGTGCAGGACGCACGTTTCATTCTGTTTAGAACACGTAAGCTCGATGTACATGAACTGTAAAGCTGATGCTCACGCCGGGGTTCGAAGTCAATACATTTCTCTTTAAACCCTGTCGAGTTATTCATTTCGCTACTGTGTCCACACAAATTATTTCTTCGTTAAGTCTTCATCTCTTCTGCTTTAATAAGCAGTGAGATATTAATCAGTGATGAACTGACCGCCAATGAGGGATGAGAAGACAAGGTCACTTCGAATTCTCCTCTTTCGTTTCCATGACGCTGGGCGACGCTAGAGCAACATTAAGAGTGTCTGCCTATTTACTAGGGTTAACTGAGGGTTATGAAGCAGCTTGAAGAATAAGGGCTATGATTTACAGTTGATGTTTAAGGTTGGGGATTAGATTTAAGGTTTTTATGACTAACTGACACCAGTGAATATATTTCGCGCCAAAATCGTCCATAATTTATAGTTTCGCCGAAAAATGTTTAGTTCCTGGTGAATTCAACAACTTGTAACGAAATTCACAAATATCAGCAACGCATTCTGCACTGTAATTAATAAAGCCGTATCAGGATTGTTAAGTTTATGATCCGTTTGTATTTGAATATGTTTAGTACCACTTAAAAGCCTCTGGGACTGAGTATATGTCCGTTTAGGCTCACAATACTAACCAGAAGTTCCTCAATTTGGGATGACTTTCAATTGCATTAAAAGGATTTTACACATGAGAAATTATTGATTAAGCCAAGCAATTAAACTTAATCCTGTCACATGCTAGTATTTTGCACTTAATACGTTGTTTCATAGTTCATTCAAATGTGAATGCAAACTAAAATAATTAATAAAAAATATCTATTAACAACTTCATATCTTTATAAACTGAAAAAGTATATAACAATGTCAGTGAATATTAACTCTATATTAAGGACAATGATACTTCTTGACCTAAGTAGTACTTATTTATTTTGATTTACTTGAAGGAAAATTGTATTACCAATACCATTGATTATATGGATTACTGAAAAGTTGTAAATTAGATTATAAGAGAATAAACACTAGCATTTACAACGATGAATTAAATGTGATACTAAACAACCGCATCCTAGACTTATTTTTATTAGAACCAGTTTGAGCTTATGTGTTTCCATATGAACAGTCAGTACAAAATATTGTGTTGACTCTTAATCTCCTGACCTCAAAATCAAACCATCTCTAACCAAACATAGTGTGACCAACTGACTAGTAT